CTGGTCTTGTACCTGGTCTTGTGTCTGGTCTTGTGAGTGGTCTTGTGACTGGTCTTGTGTCTGGTCTTGTGACTGGTCTTGTGACTGGTCTTGTGTCTGGTCTTGTGACTGGTCTTGTGACTGGTCTTGTGACTGGTCTAGACTACAACTCTGAAATAACATAATACACAGTGTGCTCTTCGGCATGTGTTCACTGCTAAATACAACACCAAGCAACATGGGAGGCATCTGTTGAACTCAACCACAAATATGTACTCACGCTATGCTGCGAGTGCCCGATGCAATTGCTGTTGGCGTTACACCATCCACAGTTGGGATCGCTGAGACAAACAGATTTGCTGTGACAAAAACGGAAAAGAGATTACAACAAACTTAGAGGCGTAGATGTAGACGAGCTCCAGGGCAGACAGCTGCATCAAACATTTGACCGTGGGTGCAATGCACGCGATGGAACCTTTGAGGGTGAAAACTACTTACGTAGAATGCGCCAAGCACTGCTCCAGAATGGACCCGCCCGACTTGGAATTGAGGGCGACCGTGCCCGGCATCTTCACGGCGATCAGATCGCGGTGCACCAGCCCGCTGTACCCGCCCACAACCAAGAGTGTGCTGCTGTCGCGGACGGCTGCGGCGTGGCCAAAGCGCCCTCTGGTGACGACGTGCAAATGCTCCGTTTCAGCGGGGGCTGGAAAATGGTTAACAAAATTTAGGACTTCTGATGAAACTGTGTGTTGGGGAGTTGGATCGGGGTGTAATGGACTTTTGACGGTGACTATCGAAACTTTAACCTGAGTAACAGTCCACGAGACGTTATTTCTGTGACAAAGAGCACCGACCATTTCCTTTCACCCTATTTTCATTTTTTTTTTCTGAAGGTACATGTAGATTCTTTTATCACAGATAAGTTTTGACATCCAAAATCAAGTCTAGTATTATTGCCACTCTTTCTGATCTTTGGCTCTGAAGGATTTTCTGGTGGGCATTAAAAGTCCAAAGTTGCACTACATGCACATCTAGGACTGAATTCTATCTCGTGAATAGGAAATTACCAGGACAACGACAGCATAGAACCAGTCCAGTCTTATGCCTGGCCTTGTGACTGGTCTGGTGCTTGTGCCTGGTTTTATGACTGGCCTTGTGACTGGTTTTGTGACTGGTCTTGTGCCCGGTCATTCATCTCGTTTTGTGAATTTTCATTTCCCTGGTCTAGTGTCTGGTCTTGTGTCTGGTATGGTCGTGTGAATTGTCTTGTGCTTGGTCTAGTGTCTGGCCTTTCATCTGGTCCAGTATCTGGTCTTGCGTCTGGTCATTTGTCTCATCTTATGCCTGGTCCTGTGACCGTCTTGACTGTTGAAACGCTGCTCCTCACTAAAATGTGTTTCTCTTCTCTACACTCACACTGGAATCCCTCGGCCAGGGTATCAAAGTCCGTCCATTTGTGGCAGCCCAGGTGAAAGAGCTCAACGCGATCGTCGTAGCATCTCTCATGGGTCAGCGGGCGGTGCTGGGCCGGATCCGAGTAGTGCCTGTGGACGTTCCCACCTGGAACACCCAAGACATGAGGATTAATAAACCGGAGGCACAGTGGCTTTGCCACTGAAAAGCTGGGCAATGCCTGAGCCTATGGGCCAGTTATCTTCCTAAA